GATTTCGATTTTTCTCAAAATTTTGGCTTTTCCAATCAAAAATTGCAAGAAGTTTCACAAACATATGAAAGATAAAAGTTTAAAATTACGAAATTAAAAAAAAAATTTTTTTTCGAGCAATTCGTCATTTTTCGTATCCTAATACCTTAAAACGGGTTGGTCTTTAATTTGCTTAGTAAATGTTTGAAGGACAAACAACGCCTGTTATGTTTCTATTGTACTGAGCTGAAGTTCAGCACAGAGATTGTGTTCATTTGAAAATATCTAAAGAGATTATTTAACAAATCGATAATTAAAACACTTATTTGGTAATTAGCATACATTTATATGATGTTTGGGGTTTGGAATGGTTAAGTTTTGTGGGAGCATTTGCAAGGATATATTTCGTTCGAAAACAGCTCATTTGAATATTAGCAAAATTCATTAGCATGTAAAAGTCCGATATACGAATTCGCTCTAATATTTGGTGAAATTATGCATGTAAACTATCCTTTGTCTTGCTGACAATAATTTAGAAAGTTTCATTATATTGTACTATGAGGTTTCTAGTTTCTCAATTATTTTCCTAGTGATAACATAGTTTAACTAAACACGTCTAGGTGTGAATAGGGTATTTAGTTAGGGGGTTCCAAGTAATACACTACCGTTTTAGGTTGAACAAATCACCCAATGCATTCGAAATCGTGATGTTCGTGTAAAAGATAAGCCGATTGAATAACATTAATTTTGTCAAACGTCGACGTTTTCAAATTTGCAGAATTGATCTTTTTTCTCACCTTTTTTTAAACCAAAATAAATTTTACTTTTGAAACGGATTTGGAACATAGCTTCTGAGAAATACTGAGATGGCAACCATAGGCAACAAAGAGATTAAAATCTCCCATATCATATACTCAATGAATAAGACTTATTTTGAACAAACAAACAAAGGACATGGCCTTGTGGTGTGGATTTCCACTAACTTGTCGTATAAGAACCAAGTCCTCTCACAGATCGAGTGAGAAAGCAAAAAATCTGTAGAACCTGGACTATGGGTAATATGCACTTTAAACCATACCTTTTCTTCATTTTCCTTTCTGGAAGTACTTTTTAAGTCTTCAATGATCTATAAAAAATGTTTTAAATGACCATTTCAATCAACTTTTCATAGTTGGACTGATCTGAAATTCCCACCAGCCAAAAGCGTTTTTTTTTTTTGCAATTTACTTATAAAACAAACGGAATGTTAGGTTATATTTTGTTAGTCTAAAGTCATCATACGTTTCTGGACACCCACACCACACACATATTTGACTTTTAAAACTACACGACTGTGTATTTTTTCTTCTTATTATGTGCATGTGTTTGCCAATGTTTGAAACGAACCCTAGAGTTAGGCCAGTTCACTGATTATCATATTGATCCCTCTCAATGAAATATTTTGTCAAACCCCAGGTCAAACCATTTTAGAAACATAGAGACATAATTAAGTAAATGTATAATTATGTAATAATATATTCGTATTTTTACACAAGTGAATATAATACATCCAGCTTGCTCATTGGTCACAATTTACGTCTTACACTGCTATATTCACCTACAGTTGTTTGAGCATTTCTGCCGCTTGCAGAGATAAATACAATTGAAAAGAACGTCAAAACAAAACTTGAAGATTGCTAATTACGTATACTCTAAATATTTTAAATTATGTATTACAATATTATGAAAGAAGGTTTTTGGACTCTCTAACCTGCTCATACTTTGCTAGTGTTGTTCTTTTAAATGTTTCATCGATTCTTGACTTACTTAACAGGAAAGTCAAAATTATCTTCAAAAGACGCAGAAAAGTCTGAAAATGCAAAATTGTGAATAGAGGTTGTTTTAGATTAGTGCAAGAGCTCAATGTAACATTCAGAGTCTGGTCAGGGGGTTCAGATCCAGAATCAAGCGCTATCAAACGACATTTTGCCCCAGGGGGTACTCTTGCCCGTTTGAGGGTAGGGATGTGCCGCTGAGCCCACTGAACCCTGACCCTGTTCCAGAGTAAAATCTCCGAAATTCATACCCTGTTCCAGAGCAGGATTGCTGAAAACCATAACCTTTTCCGGTATTGCGAAAATGGATACTCTGTTCCAGAGGAGAGAGCATGATTTCATATACCCTGTCCCAGAGAGAGCGCGATTTTACATACCCTGTTCTAGAGTAGAATCGCTGAAAACCATACCCTGCTTGGTGGCATGTACCTGTATAGTGAATGTAGGAGAGTACCCCCCCCCCCCCCGGGCATTTTCCCATCGACTGCCAAATTCAACATATTCAAAGGCGAG